TTTTTTCCAATGATTTATACTCTCAACTGTTTTTTTTTTTACCGTTGTTTCATCTCTAAAAATGGAAAAAGTTGTTTATTTGAGGCAAAGGGAAGAAGAGGCTAAATTAACCTGTCGTCTTGCTAATTTTTTACTCAACTTTTCAACAGGTACTCTTTCTAGCCATCTGTTTACCGACTAATTTAATTTCTAGAATTTTTATCATTTAATGTCTTATTTCTTTTTCCTTTACTCTTTTTCGTTTTCTTATTCCTCTTCTTCTTCTTTCGCCTTCTGTCTACCAGCCAACTCTCCATCCTTAAGTTAGATTTTTTGCTTTTAATTTTTGCTTAGTCTTCAATCCATCCGTTGTCTTGATGAGACTGGGGAAAAAAAAATTGGGAAACTGATAAAATGTGAAATCTGTGAAAAATTAACAGCAATAGCAAACTGTCAAACAAAATAGTTGATTAACCAAATGAAGAAGCTTTAGCCAAGAAAACTTGTAGTTTTGTTCAAAAGCTTCAGTTGCAGTACTAAGGCTGTCTGAAGTTCGGTTGTTAGCGACAGAATGGAACATTTAATTAACCGTTATGTACATTTACAGATGCTTCAACGACTAGGTCTACAAACTGAAGGTGCAGAAGAAGATCTTTTGGAGTTGCCGAATACCTTTATTGGAAAGGTAGTTTGTTTTATTTACTTCAAATTTTATATTTTTTTCTGTACAATTCTTTTTTATTTTTTTTTCAATGTTATAGAAAGGTAACAAAATTGGGTATAACCAAAGCTGAAAAGAATATCTTCAATTTTTGTATACCAGATGAATTTTTTCGACAGTTACAAAACTATGCCCTCCTGTTTCCACTTTTTTGTCATCGTTAACATTTGGATCTGAAAATTCTGCCACTTAATTTAGCGATACACAAGAAGGTATTATTTTGACAGTACAAATAACAACAGGCATCAGAACTAGATTTTTTTTTTTCTCAACTTTCTAGCTTTGCTTGCAAAATTAAGTAATAAATATATCAATTGGTATTTATAAATTTCAGATATCTTATAAAATTTCACAGCTTTATTTATTGCCGGAAAAAAATTAGTGGAAAATTAAGAAAG